CAAGGCAAGACGAGACGAGAGCGGCAAAATCCGAGACCTCGACGGGTTCGCGGGAGAGAAAAGCGTCGTTGGCGCGCGTGAGAGAGAAGTGCAACTTCCCCCTCCCTCTTCACTGCGCCGCCTCCCTCTCCTTCTCCGTCTTTGCGCTCCGCGGCGCCTGCGACTGGTCGGAGAGCTCTGCGCGCGGCGCCACGGCGCCCGCGAGGGAGAGGCCCTGGAGGCGCGCGGCAAAGGCTCGCATGTCTGCCTCTGCCTCTGCCTCTGCCTCTGCGTCTGCGGCTGCGGCTGCGGCTGCGTTCGACGAGCCAAGCGCTTGCTGCTGCTGCTGCTGCTGCTGCTGCTGCTGCTGCGCGGCAGAGGGCGCGGCAACAGGAGCGGCGCGTGCGCTCGAGGCGGCGGCGACGGCGCCTCCGGCGGCGGCGGCGGCGAGCGGTGCCGCCTGATGTTGAGGCCGGTTCTGCGGCGTTGTTGGCGTCGTCGTGGCCTGTTGCTGTGGCCCCTGCTGCTGCTGCTGCTGCAGCTGTGGTTCTGCCTTCATCTTCGTTTCGCTCTCCACCTCCTCCTGCAGCGCCCTGAGCTCCGCGGCAATCTCCTCGTCGTCGTCCAGTTGCGCCATCTCCTGCGCGGTGGGGTCGAGCGAGTGAACCGCCTCGTCGATCTCCTTCTGGTCCGCCAGCACGTCCGAGAGCGCCGCGCTCGTGCGCTCAATGTGCGCATGCTGCAGCTCGGGCGCGGCGAGCAGCGACCGTAAGGTGGAGGAGGAGAGGGCGTAGGCTCGCATGATCTGTTCTCCGAGGGTGGGAGAGAGGGGGCGGGTGAGGGGAAAATCAGCATCTTGTGAAAGCCCAACACACACACGACACACGCGAGTTGGCAGTGGAGGGGAGTAGCAAAGGAAAGAGAATGGAGAGAGGGGGGGGGGGCAACACAACAAACACATACCTCAACATCGCCAGCCGCCTGTTCAATCTTCAACAAGACGCCGCCGAGCGTCGCCTCGGCGCCCAGGCGCCGCTGCAGCACGCTCTCGAGCTCCTTCTTGCCGCGTAGCGCCGCCAGCGCCTGCGCCTTGCGCGCGGCGCGCGAATGCTCCAGCGCCGCTTGCTTCTTGCTGAGCAACAGAAGGCGAGAGAGAGAGAGAGAGAGAGAGAGTCAGTCAGCGCAAGGGGGCCAGGCAAATAGGGGGGGGAGGAGAAGGGGGACCCCAACGAGCAAGAGCTATTACGCACGCGGCGATACGAGCCTCGAGATCTGCGACTTGGGCGACGAGCCTGCGATGCGTCTCCTGCAGCGACAGCACATCTGCCTCGTTTGCCTCGATGCGCGGCACGCTGGCGTGGGGCGACAGTGGCAGTTTGATCACCTGTTGTGTGTGTGTTTCGTGTGTGTCATCTCTCCTTGTGTCAGCTCTTAGTGCCTCTCTCTGTCTCGCATCAGCAGGAAGAAGGGCGGTGAGGGGAGGGGGGGCAGGGGGGGCAGGGGAGGGCAGGCAAAGCAACTTACGTCCTTAGAGACCCTTGCGACGCCCAGATCGCGCTCGAGATGCAGCAGCAAGAGCTGCAGATCGGCCTCGTCGAGCTGCACACCTCCGCCTTCGCCTTCGCCGCCGCCGGCACCGGCAGGCGCATTCGCACCGGGCAGGCCGGCAAGCAGAGCCTGGAAGCTCGAGCGCGTGTACAGCGTCGAGAGCGCAGAGGTGCAGCGTGCGTGATGCGCCGCGAGGACGTGCGAGGCGTATGCCTGGGAATAAAGTGCCAAAGGCGTGAGCACAGGCGCATGAAGAGCAAAGAGAGAGAGGAGGGGGCGGGGGGGGGGGGGGGGGGGCGAAAATACGTACGCGAAGCTCAGAGACGAGCAGAAACTCTCCCTTGTTCACCCTTTGCCTTGATGCCGAAGCCGCATCGCCAGAGGCCAACTCGAGGCCGAATGCGAGCGAGAGAAAGCCCTTTGCGAGCGCGCCGGGCAGCGCGGAAAGCTTCGCCAATGCGGAACTTGAACTTGAGCTTGAAGAGGGGGAAGAAGAAGAGGGCGAAGAGGAAGGCAGAGGACGTGAGAGATAGAGCGGGAGAGGGAGCAGTGTGTGAGAGGCGAGAAGGGATTGCTGTGCGGCAGCAAGAGGGGGGGAAGGGGTGAGCGAAGGTGAGAGGCAATCTCCCCGGGATGTGAAGGGGGATGAGAACATTGCAAGGCCATGCTGGGCGCCGCGCCCCACATGTCTTTTTGTGGCCCAGCCCGCAAGGAACCCTTCAGCATGATGGGCGCTGGTAGCAAGCGCCCCCCCCCCCCCCCGGGTGGTTGCTCGGGCGGCGCTACGATTGGCAAAGACACGAGCGGGGGGGGGGGTAGGCAAGACCATTACGCGCCCCCCCTCCCCCCACCTCTTGACAGAGAGATGCCAGCGTACCCTAGTCTCTCTCTCTCTCTCTCTCTCTCTCTCTTTCTCGCTCTCTCTTGCCCTTGCGTGTGTGTGATGCTACAGCAACTCACCAACACCTCTGCCAATCCCATTGGACGACCAACACTTTCTTCCTCCCACCTCATCTCCTCCGCCTCCTGCACGTTCCACACCAGTCGTCGCCCGCCGTTGCCGTTGAGCACGCCCGCGCGTGCGGCGCGGCAGACGAGGCGCGCCCACCACGCCACGTGTGCGTCGAACGCGGCGGGATTGGAATGGCGCGAGGAGGAAAAGGAGGAGTAGTGGGCTTGGACCTCCGAGGCGGAGAGAGGGAGGAATTGAGAGGTGAGAAAGTGGGAGAGTGAGGACATGGCGAGGCCAAGCGTGGGGGGTGGTGGTGAGAAGGAGAGACGCGAGGCGCGCGCAAGCCGCTTTGAGGAGCATCAGGCGCGCGCGCCGCGCAGCAGACAGAGGAACTCGACTCTGTCGGGCGAAACGCGCACGGACACAGCGAGCATGGCGGCGGCGGGCGGCGCTCCTTCCTTGCCCACCATCACATCCTCCCATCGCACACTTCGGCACTATGCGGGCGCTCATCGCACTTCTTGTGCTCGCCGGCAGTGTGCAAGCCTGGTATCTGCCCGGCGCCGCGCCGCGTTCCTTCTCGCCCGGCGACGTCGTCTCCTTCACCGTCAATGCCCTCACGCCGCTCGCCTCTTCTCCCGGCGTGCCTCCTGCGTCTGCACAAGGCACGGCCGCGCAGGCTAGCGTCGTAAAAGGCATCACTAGCTACAATTACTACGACGAGCGCTTTGGGTTCTGCCGCCCAGAAGGAGGACCGAGCGCCATTGGAGAGGGATTGGGGAGTGTGTTGGCGGGCGATAGACTGTTTGATAGTCCGATTCAGGTGAGTGACTGAACAAGGGAGACGGGGGGGGGGAGGGAAAGCTATACGTGAGGCATGTGAGAGGGCAGCAGGGCGGCTTCGAAGAGGCGCGGCGGCCAAGTCGAGATGGGGGCAAAGCGCCTGGCGCGTCTCAAAGGCGGGCGTGGAGTGCAAGAAGAAGCGAGTTTCCCTCAGCCCCCCCCCTCCCTCTCTTTGAGTCGGGGCAAAGGGCCGAGGGGGGGGGGGGGGGGGGG